TTTTTTTTTTTTTTTTTTTTTTTTTAAAGACAGAGTCTCATTGTGTAATTTAGACTGGCCTTGAACTCCCTGTGTATCCCAGGCTGGCCTTGAACTCAGTGGCAGTCCTCCTGCCTCAGCCTCTGGAGTGCTGGGACTACAGGTATGTGCCACTATATCTGGCGCTTTAGAGTCATTTTTTTTCTAATTCCTTCAGATAGGTTTAATCTATTTTACTTTTAAATGTCTTCACTTTTACTAGGATTAAGACCTAGTATAAATAAGTAGGCATGAATAAAATATAAATCTTATGCAAGGCATAAGATTGCCCTGCCCCCTCCCCCTTCCTCTCCCTCCCCTATTTTGAGACAGGGTCTTGTTATGTAGTTCAGGCTGGCCTTGAAATCATTATGTAGCCCAGGCTGGCCTCAAACTTATGTCAGCCCTCCTGCTTCAGCCTCCTGAGTGCTAGGATTACAGGTGTGTACCACCATGCCTGGCCATTCTTGTTTTGTTTTGTTTGAGATAGGGTCTCCTAAATTGCCCACACTGACTTCAAACTTGTGATCCTTCTGCTTCATTCTCCCAGGTTGCTGGGATTACAAATGTGAGCCACCACACCTGGCTTTCTTTTTTGTTTTGTTTTGTTTTCTCTTTGTTTTTGAGGTGTTTGTTTATTTGCTTGCTTATTTGCTTTTTTGAGAGTTTTACTATTTTTCAGAGCTTTAATTTATTTGCAGCGCTGTGCATCAAACCTAGAGCCTCATAAAAGTTAGGCAGGTGCTGTACCACTGAGTTACATCCCTGTCTGCTTTTCTTTTTATATATTAACAACTTAACTGACCACTGCAAGCATTGCATAGGCAGGCATCATTTCAACCAGTCGATTCTTTTTTTTTTCTTTCCTGTACTGGGACTTGAACTCAAGACTTTGTGCTTACGAGGCAGGTGAGGTGCAACTGAGCTAAATCCTTGGCCTCCAGTCAATTCTTATAAGAATAAATTTGAGAGCTGTTTGGAAGTTCTAGCAGGGGCGCACAGCTACTCGTATACCCTTGTCCCAGGAAATGGTCCTCCTGTATCAGGGGTGATCATCTTCTTCCACCCAACATGCAGCTTT